TCAAATTTATCTGTATGATACAGATGAACAGCAGTTACATAGGCAATGTATTATGCCTAATTTGGACTCTTCTGTACTTGCTGAACTTCAGGAAATGCTTCATGAAGTAAATCCATATGTGCATATTTTCAAACAAGTGGTGCAGTTGTTGTGCAAAAATCCATCTCAAGAACTAAAAATGGCAATAATTAAAGCATGTGATGAACAACAATATGCTACACCTACCGCATCAGAAGTTGCAGTGCTAATGGTTGGAAATGGTGAAGATCAAAAGCCTTTGAACCGTGATATAATTCTTCACAAACAAAGTGGTGGTCTGCAATGAATTTATCAATTCTATTCTTCTTATAGCCCATTGCATTATGTATTACTTTTTCCACATGGTAAGCCTAGATGGCATTTAAATATTCCTGCACATAAGATATTAAATAAACAATCAAATGATCATGGTGAAGATTTTGATAATTTAAACACCTCTGAAGACTATTGTGAAGAAGAAAGTTCAAAACGTGTAACAATGATGCAGTACTATGCATATTGGTTGCAAGTTCATAGATATGGACCACTAGAAACATTTTCTCTTCACAGAACCAGTCGTCTGTTCCAGCAGTATATTGTAGATAGTTATGCATGCATTGAACAAAATCGTCTCAATTATTTAAATTCAAATCAAAAAAAAATCAGAGCTGAACTATATAATGGATTGCAAGATGCACTTACAACTAATGATAAATTTCCACAAAATAGGGCTCGCATTAGTCAGAGAATTGTTCTTCCATCAAGTTTTGTTGGTGGACCGTGTCACATGCATCAACTTTACCAAGATGCCATGACCATTGTTGGGCATGCAGGTAAACCAAACCTATTTATTACAATGACATGCAATCCAAGCTGGGAAGAAATCCAAACAGCTTTGTTGCCTGAGCAAAGTGCACATGACTGTCCTGACCTCTGTGCACGTGTTTTTAATATGAAATTGAATACTTTGCTAAATGATATATTAAAAAAAGGAATTTTTGGTAAAGTAACAGCATATATCTATGTTATTGAAGCACAAAAG